CTCTCTCTCTCTCTCTCTCTCTCTCTCCCTCTCTCTCTCCTGAATGCTATCAAATATTTGATTAAATTCTATAAAAAGCATACAAAATATGTATTAATTAAAAGCTTAAGTATTTCATGACATAAACGATTTAATTTCACAAAAATACTTCATATTCTGTTCAAAACAAATGATTAAATTCTTATCAATTACTAAATTAACTATTAGTACCGGTATTTGTATCCTATTTACCACGTTATCTAAAATATTGTCCAATATTAACCAATATGTTATTGCAAATCATTAAATTTTATCAAATAAAAACTTAAAATCCTATTCAAATCACTGCAAACAGTAGTGTTTCAAATTATTCAATGAATTTAATAATTAAAAACTATTGAAAATATGTAATTAAACTTTAATTGAGTTTTTTATTAATAAAAATAATGACAAAAACAAACACTTATACAAAAATACAATGAAATGACACAAGAGATCAATAAATCTCTTTCGGCGGCTCTTCGCCGAAGAGGTGTCGCCACGAAAACGGGACAATCCATGTCTTCACACCAGCGGTGGTCTTGAAATCAATTAAACTTAACCATTGATTGACGGCATTAGCGAAGGCGTAACTATGCGGCCGATTATCGCCTTCAGAGCAGTACAGCACTAAACCGATGGCCGAAACTCCCGTTTTGTCCATTGATTTAAGCAATTCTTTGAGGGAACCGCTGCCCGGAAGGTGTATCCGGCCGTCGGGCGAGGGCTGAAGCGTGAAGGGGTCCACTCGCGCGACGGCCCGCCAATTGGTGGCCAGTGTTTGGTCGGCGGCGCGACTGTGGGTCTCGTTTGGCAGGCATTTAATGGGATAACAGTCGCCGGAGTCGAGCGCCTCAACCAAGTGCTCGATGAAACTGGAGCTCAAGAGCACCACTCGCTTCACACCCGCTGTAGACAACCATTTGGCCAATGAGTCGAAGAACTGTTGTCGCGATTCCTGCGGTCACAGAAAAACAAACATATATATCGTTAAATTGATTGATACGATCGGCGACTCCCGTTATTGTGTACACTTCACTATACAGTAAAGTGGCGTACACTATAACGGGACGGATTAGTTACCTTATAAAGTGGTGTCCGCTGTTGTATAATCAATAGTTTCCGAGCCTTGCATTCAAACACTGGACACCGAAGAAGTGAAATACCAATTAGTGGTGACAAAAACCAAACAAAATACATGTATTATACATACCCTGTGCCGAAGTGGCCAGCGTTTGGCCCCCGAATCGGTAGGGGTCGGGACCGGACAGAGGCATCAGCGCCGGTGAGTAGAGATGGCCGACGAGCCGACACTCGCGGCTCTCTATGAGTGTCGAGACCAACAAATCAATGGCCAATTGCGGGACGTTTCCCACCGAAACACACCCGTAGATCACTGTGTGCTCTGACCACTCATTGTCACCACTGGATCCGCTCGCGATCGGCACGAAGACACTGTCACTACTCATAGTTCACGGTTTTAATTGAAGTTTTTGTTTTTTTAATTTAATTTAGTTTTGATTTAAAAGTTTTGGTTTTGTTTTAAGTTTTTTGTCAATTCATTTGATGTTTGCATTCATTGCACAATAAAACATGTTTTATATAACGTTACTATTAATCTAATATTATTTGCCCCTTATTTGAAAGTAATGTTTAGTGTATAGCGTTTTTATTAGTAAATATCTGATGACACAAATAACCCCCTCCCCTATTAACTCGTAACGTTGTCTGTGTACTGCTAACAACTGTCAGATTTGCTATATTGCACGTTATTTATGAACGCGAAAACAGTGTGTGCTTTTAAACATAAAGTATAAAAGCGTATAAATATTTGTAGACATTTAACGCATTGCGTGCAATAAAAACAGAACAATAAATGTGCACAACTAAAACACAATACATTCACAACGTACGGATACATTATACACATCAATATTGTCCCCCCAATCAAACAATGCATATCTCGCACAGCATTTGCATTGATTGACAAACTGATTATTATATGCCACTCACGTGTCGAGCGTAACAGTGTTTGTGGACATAAAGGCATTACATAAGCCCAGTGTGCGGGCCGTGTGTGCACTACATCTACACTGACTTCTAGAAGACATTACAAACACATGTTTATTGTGTTTAACATTGAATTCAATCATTAAATTGTTTTGAAACCCAAAAACCGGTTTATATTTTAAACCCAATTCAACACAAACCCAAAAACACCCGAAAACACGTGATATGTGTTTGTGTTTGTTGTGAAACTCAACGCCAATAACAGGTATAAAACAAATTGTATTTTTTTTGCGATCAAAACAATCGCTTTAATCGTGAATTTTATGTGTTTCGCAGACCTCTTCACACCCGAAGACTCGGAGGAATATCACATCAGAGCGGAAACGATGACCAAAATCGTGTCGATGGCACTCATGTCGGGCCAGTGTCTGCGTCAGTGGCGCCAAATGCGGTCCCATTTGTGGCCGCGAATCGCCCTAACCCTCAGTTTGCCG